GCACAGTGTGCTCATGGCTGGCTGCTGAGCAGAGCTCTGTCGGGCTGAAAGAAAATCTTTTAGATAAACAATTAATAAACATAAAAACCGAAAGAAGAACTGAAGCCTCTTCTCGTCCTTCGATACGCGGCTGCCCCAAGGTCACCCCGGGCCTTTCCAGGCCCCTCAAACAGCCGAAAACCCAACACCCAGGGAATCCGACAGAAATTCCACACCCACAGGGGTTCACACCACACCGGGCAAGAGCAGAACATGCAAACCCACAACCCCCTCCAGCCCCCACTCACACCCCAGGCCCTGCACATTTAAAATGCCATTTTTGGACTTACATCTCTGAACTCTCCCTTATTGATCAGGTATTTGTGGCAAAACGCCTCCCTTGAAGGCTGCCAAACACAAATCCTGAATGATCTGATTTGATTATTCAGTGCAGACAGGTTTTCCCTTCAGAAAGGTCACATTTATTTAATTTATTTATTTAATTCCAACCTGGAGCTGGCTGCAGGATATCTGAGCACCCCTGAATCATCCCAGCTCTTTCCCTCCACATCACCACTGCCATTTCTGTGTACATGGGTTAATAAGAGATAAAATTGACTATTAAACTTGATTAATAACACTAATTTCAAAAGGTTTCATTTTGGGGAAGGAGTTTTGAGGTTTAAATGGGACCAAACCCTGCTGCCACACTCAGTCTCCAAATAAAAATACAGCCCTAAGGAATGACCTATTAGTGCCATTTAAAAGTTAGCTACTATTCATTTAATGAGATTACTAAAAGTGCTACAGGAAATCAGGTGTTGACTGAGCCTCAAAATGAGTTTACCTCATTACCTGCCCATTACAGAGCAGAAAATAAAATTATTGCAGGAACTTGGAGCACCTCACACAAAACTGAAGAGTCGTGGGCAATCAAAGCACTTCAGTGTCAGACAGGTGGCACAAAATTGGTTTTGCCCTTTGGTTTACTTAAAATTCTGCAAAGAATGCAAAAGTTTGGGATCTATTTGGAAATTATTCCCCCCAACTGACTTTATTTCTGTTTAAATTCTTCCCATCACTAAAGGAAAAGGGAGCAGTGCTGTCATTCACAGTGACTTCCATCACTTGTCAGAAGCATCACTGCCTCAACATGAAGATGAGACTAAAATTAAGTTAATTGGGCAATTTTTCACACCAAACCAAAGGCCACACTTTAAAAATACCTCACAGCCCACAAAGCTTGAGCAGCCATCTCAAACCATCACACAGTAAAACAAACACATTTCTTTTCAAACATCAGCAGCGGTGATGAAAGGTTTCTATTTCACAACAATTGTTCTGACATTAAAAACCTTCCAAATGTGACAAATCAACCCCTGTGAAAGAGCACAGACACAGAAATACCTGTGATCATCCTCAGGGGTCCAAAGGGAGGTGAATAATCCCAATCCTAATTGAGGAGATTGGCTGCATCCTAATTAACTCTGCACATTGCTCACCTCTGAGACTCCCAGACAAAGGCTGGGCATTTGGAAATTGTGTCTAAGGACTGGCTGGCTCTGAAGAGATCCATGAAAACTGATTTATTTTCTGCTGCAGGTTTTAATTAAGCAGCAAAATATTTGTTAGGAATGCAATCTTTAAAGGAGTGGGAAGGAAACACAGGATACTCTGGACTGGCTAAGTTATATCAGTTTGTATAATGTGATTTCAAAGATAAAATGTATTTCTGTATGCAGGAGAAATACTCTGTATTTCTTAATCTGGTAAAATTGAACAGAGTCGAGTTTTCTTTTGGGATTGTTTTTAATATGGGAAACTGTTTTATCACCCTGGAGCTGTTGGAGACATCATTTATGTGGTGATAAAATCCTGCCATGCTGTGACACTCAGCTGTGCCCTGGGAACAAGGACAAGCTGCAAATCCTCTCCCTGTGTTTGAGGCAGGGATTTGTGGATCCAACACCCCGTTCCTGTGAGGCACAGGCAGGAAATGCCACCCCTGAGCCAAGGACAGTCAGGCCTGCATCCCTCTGATCCCAAATTCCCACCAGCTCCCCAGGGACAGTGGGATCAGCAGCCAGACAGTGACAACTATTGCAGCTTTGTCTCTGGGTGCTGGAAAAGGGATTTTTTCTCCTTTAAAGATGGAGAACTGGGAACAAAGGCTCCTGTTATACTGGGAAAAAGCAGAGCAGCAAAATCCCAACCCCAGATTAAACAGTCCCAACAGAGAGCAAGCAAAACACACAAATGTCACCCTCAACCCTCTTATATTCCAAGTGCTGCTTTCAAAGGCACTTTAAACACCCTTCAACTTGTCCCCAAATGCCCAAAAAACAAAACCACCCAGGGAGCATCTGCCATTTATTGCCATGGACCAAGAAAGGGAAAGCAGAACAGTCAGGGTGTTGGGAAATGAAGCTCCAAGCAGTGATAAATCAAAATTCAAATGTACTGATAACCTGAAATGCCCCCCATTGCAGTTTGTACCTCAGAATTATTCTCCTTTTCAGGGTTTCAACTCCAGCCTGAATATGATTTCTGCTTTGGTTTTTTCAACTCCACAACAGTGAGCAATTCATTTTCTCAGCATTCCCCAAGAAAATGTGCAACTGAAAAGATGTAATGATGTAACACAGGCAGTTTCCACCAGGGAATTTCCACCAGTTTGGCAAAGAGCTAAAAAACATTAGGGGTTCAGATCCCAACACCTGGGCAGAGTTGAAATTCCTCTTATAATCATTTCAGAGAGCTCTTCCCTGAATGCAAAACTGCAGCAGGAAGGGTAATTATCATGTATAATGTGTATTTATTATTATGTGCCATTTTGCACAGTTATGTTCACTGCATCTGAATTGCTGCATTAAAGAAAGCCATGGGTGGAGTCTCACTGGGAAAACAATCTTCCACCTGTTGCCCAGGAATTTCCTGAGGGAAAAGAGGGGTGTTTTTATAATTTTATAATCCCTGTTGTGTCCCCAGCAGAGGTGGGCAGAAGGAACTCCAGGTGTGGAATCTCCTGCACAGGCAGACCAGGGGTGGGAGAGGAAGCAGAGACCAAGCAGTCCATTGGAAAGATAAATATCCTGAATATTTGTTACAATCTAGAATTATTCTCTAAAAAATAATAAAAAATAAATATGGTCATGGGCAATAAACATCTGTAACTCATTTTTAATATAACAGCTGAACCAAACCTCAAAATAAAGGGCAAAAGCAAAGCAAAATAAAACAAGATAAATACAGAACAGGCCTTTTGAGAAAATGTCTCCAGCTGATCTTTAACATTTGATCCCAATTCAGCAGCCAATGCTTCCTCACCCATTTTATCAGATTTTCCCTGGGGAGCCCTGCAGTAGGAACTGGGCCTGTGTTTGCAGGGGCCACCTAAACAAATCAATGGCTCATTAGTACCTGGGGAGCATCCAGCTTAATGAGAGTCTGTCCATCCTTTAGCAGAGCCCAAAACAATCCCTGCAGAGCAAACAGACAGGATCTGACAAGTCCTGCTGTGGTAAGAATTGAGATCAGGGTTATAAAACTCATCTTAGAGCTTTCCACCATTTGCAGTTTGTCACCACAATTTGAAATGTGACTGTTTGGTATCACCCCGGTGTAACAAGTTTACATTCATTTTGTGGGATTAAAGGCTGTTCAAAGGTTTTAGGAAGTTACCCAAGGTCTTAACAACTGCTCAGGAAGGTTACCAGTTTTTGGGAGGATTGAAGAACCCACAAAACCAGTGCCTGACTGGGACCTGCACCCATCCCCTGTGCTGGTTTTTAACCCAAGCCAATGGAAGTGACAGGGAATAACTGAAGAAAAACAGCCAAACAGGGGCGGGATAGGAAATCCAAGTTCCCCCTCACAGCCAACAGCCCCAAATGCAGCAGCAGGTTAAAAAAGGGAGCTCACCCTGCCAAAGGTGAGCAGCAATCCCAAATATTCCCTGTGCACAGATCTGACCCACGCTCACTATAGAAGCTGGAGGGGAGACGACCCACCCTGCGTTGGTCAGCATCGACTCCGATTTATTAATCAATCAATCAATCACCTTTTATAACAGTGTTAATCAAGTTCATGCATATTGCAAAATCTGAGCTCACAATAGGCCAGAGATAACACACCAACCCCTCCTTATGTTTCCAATACCAAGATTTGGGTTCTCAAAATTATTCTTGCTTTCCCAAAACAGCCAAAGATAGAACATCCACTTGTTATGAGAAAGCTGACTGAGAACTCTGATGTGCAAGGCTCTCAAGGCCTTCATGTTTGCCACTTTTACCTGTAATTAAAAATAACCTGAGAACCTCTGCTGTTCACAGAAGCAGGCTGTGAGAATCTGCTCCTCACAGCTGCCTTCTAGGCCATCTCTGAAAAAATCTCCAACAGCTCACCTCCTCCAGAGCCCCACACTCAGGGCACTGCTGTGAAAATGAATCTCCAGCCCTTCCAAGCAGACCCCACAAACTCCTCCTCACTGTGGGGGATTCAGCAACTCCATTTCCCGAGCTCTGGGGAGATCAGAATTCCCCACTTTGATATTTTCATCACTTTAATAGCAGGAGTAGTGACCTGGAAGAGAAGGAGAGCTCTGATGCCCTCTGCATCCCTGCCCTGCTGCCAGAGAAGGGATTTTATCCAGACTCCCTGGAAGTAAGGGAAAAGCTCAAGCCCTATCTTTCACTCTTTTTTATAGAGTGCTTTAAAAACCTCCCAAATTCACCACAAACACAAGAAATAAACTGTGATCCTTTACCTTTCCAGCACATTGTACATGAATCCCACTCCCATGGCTCCTGGAATTGCCCATTCCACACCAGGAAAGCAGCACTGGACATGTTTCACCTTCCTTCCCCCTCACACCTGCCTGTTGTCACCTCTGGCAATTACAGACAGACAAATCTTTAAGCATCAGATATGTTTATTAGACAATTCCAAAAGTCAGTTTTAGTAGGCAACTTGGAAAGAAAAGTAGAAGATATCTGAATGTCCATGTTTTAATACTTGGTGATGTCAGGGATATGGCAATCATAAAAAAACTGTTTACAAAAGGTACAAAAGCTGCATTCCCAATGGCAGGAACAGGATGAGCTGGCAAGGAAGCTTTGGGAAATGCAGCCCCAGATCTCCAGCTGATCATGGAACACCCATCTTGCCATGGAGGTGCAGCCACAAAAATCAGCCTGGTGTGGAAATTAAGGCACTTTGGATACACAGTATTCACTTCCACACAGGGAAACCATTCCAGAGAAAGCACAGTAAGCTCCCACTGCAGGGATGGCACACAATTCCCAGTACAGAGCTCAGTGGGAGTGAAGCTCTGGAGAAAAAAACCCCACTGAAATAATATCATTTTTTACCATAGTTGATAACAAAGTAAATTTACTTCACACAGATCCATGATTTCAGCACAATTTTAAACATTGAATGTAAAGTCCACGTGAAAACCTGCATGAAATTCACATTAGGGATTAGTGCACGTAGCTACTTGCAAATAATACTACAAATAATAAAAACAATAATAAAAAAAGCATTGACCTTCTCTACTCACCACCCATGAGGTCCCCACCAACCACAGCCCAAAGGGGATACAGTACAATGGAAAAATTTGGCAAAAAGCAATTTAAACCAGCATTTATTTTCTGGTCCTCCTGGTCCCTTTAGATTGTCCTTGTTCACTGCTCCTGTCACACACCACAAAATGATTTATTTTCCAGGAAAAATTCCATCTCAGCTGCTTTTCCTCCCCAAAACTGCACCAGTAATTGAGTAGTTTTGCAGATTTCTCTCTCAGCCTTTGGTACATGAATGGAGTAAAAGCTTTCCAGAACCCAGCCCCAATCCAAGGGGAGTTAAATGGAATTGTTAGCAATGGCATTAGGAATTTACCATCAGGCACTGACTGGGTTTTATTTCACTGTTTTACTCCATTATTGAGTGAAAAGTGCCACTGTGTAGGGAAAAAAGGCATCTTCTTTAGAGCCACAGCAGGATTTAAACATGGAAATGATGTTTCAAATGAAAAATTTGGTTTATCACTAAACCAAGTCATTTTCCCAGTTCCAACAGCTTTCATCAAACGCAGGAAGAAGACACTCAAATAATTTGTTATTCCCAGGATTTGGTAAGTTTATCCTGCTATGTCTTGGATGGAGCATTAACATCCAGAAATAAACTGTCTTTTAATGTTAATTCCTCTTTTAGCAGTAATTAATTACTGACCATTCCCTCTGTTCTTACACAACTAAAGTAATAAAATTACATTTCCTTAAGTGTGATTATGCCAATGTTTACCAAGATAATGCTGTTAAAAATATAGTGTTTTAATGCAATAACAACCTTCTTCCAGACAAAAAACAGATGTGTTAAAAGCAAGGAGGAAATAAGAAATCCTACCCAGCAGAACACTCCTTTCCTAGCAATTCACACCCATAAAAATACAGAGTTGAACATTAAAATGTGATTTAAGTGTCCTGAGGGTAATTTCTCCTTTTGTGAACCTTCACAGAAGTCATGTCAGCTTTAAGATGCATTAAAATATGTTATTCCCCAAATTCTTAAACTAAATAGGGACAGAAAATATCTTTGTGGGGAGAAGATGATCTTTAAACAAACATAAGTGGAAGGGTTTTTAACCAGGGTTATTTTCTTTTGATTTCCTCAGGTAGTAAGAGTTGGCATCACTTATGTTTGGTTTTATTATCATTAAGAAAAATTACAGTTTTTCTCAAATTAATGAGATGTAAATGAAATAATAACTGATGCTAATTAAAGCAGAAAAATTGATCAAGTTGAACAATCCCAATTAGGATAATCTTCATATTAATCTCTGATTATATGGTTAAAAACCCAACAGGAGCAGTGACCAATGGCTAAATGACATTTCAATAAAAAAAACCAATGCAAATACAGTGAGAAATGTGTAAAACTGCTTATTTTTTGTAAACTTCTCAAAGGATAAATTCATAATAACTCCCCATTTCAGTGACTACTTCCAGCCAAGTGTCAGCACTGTCCCTTTGGCTGAAGTGCATTTCAAAAAGCAAATTATGACATGATAATGTAAAGCCAGGTGAATGTTATAACACACCACACACATCAGAATACCTATACATACACACAGAACAGGGGGGAAAAGCTGTGAAATATTGAAAATTACCAGCACCACCGAGAGCTCCTACCACTGCTCCCAGCTGAAATCATCTCCTCTGCCAAAGACAAGGAAAAAGCCAAGAATGGTCAGGAAAATGACTGCATTGCCAGCCAGCACCAGGCCACAGGCTCCCCACTTGATCTGCAAGGCAAGAAATGGAACAATCAAAGCACTTCTTGGAAAAGATGCTCAGGACAGTTATTTACAGGCATTAGATCAGCTAAAAACGCTAAAAAAACACAATACTACAGAAAGGTGCTAAAAGCAGAACAGGCAAACAATAAAAAACTCAATTTGTGTGACTAATTATTCAATTAGCAGCCACTTGGATCACTAATAAACACTCCAGCCAAGCTACTGCTAGGGTTTAGAAGAAAATGATGACTTGCCTTCCAAATCATTAAAACACACCTAAATCAGAGAGAAAGCTGCTGAAATTAGTGCTCTCCTTCCATTGCCAAGCAACAAAATCAAAATATCTCCTTTTAAAGAAATCACGGGCAGGGAAAACGTGGATTTAAGAGTAAACAGCTTTTTGCTTTATTCATGAGCTGCACAAGTAATTTAATTAAATAAGGAACATTGACTCTCAAAATACACAACTGAGAGTTCCCTCTCGTGGCTGTTCTGCTGCTGCCAGGCCCCACCTCCAAAATAAAAATATCAGGGGGACTGGGCATTGAAAATAAATTAATAGCAAGTACACAACATTTATAAATGTATTTATAAATGTATTTATAGATAGTATGTATAATATATAATATATATAATAGTAATATATAAATATATAATAATATATGTATGTATATATATAAATGTATATATACATTTATAAATGTATTTAATGTGCAAACAAATAAAATCAGAGCAAGTATACAACATTTATAAACAGTATGTATAATATATAATATATATAATAGTAATATATAAATATATAATAATATATGTATGTATATATATAAATGTATATATACATTTATAAATGTATTTAATGTGCAAACAAATAAATTCACAGCAAGTAAACATTTATAAATGTATTTATAAATGTATTTTTAAATAGTATGTATAATATATAATAAATATTATAATAATATATAAATATATATTAATATATATAAATGTATGTGTATATATAAATAAATGTAAATATATATTTATAATTGTTTTGTTGTGTAAACAAAAATTCAGAGCAAGTACATAACATTTATAAATGTATTTATAAATGTATATGTATATATTGTATGTAAAAGATATAATATATAGTATAATAATATATAAATATATAACATATAAATGTATGTATACAAATGTATATATATATATATATTTATAAATGTATTTATTGTGTAAATTAATAAATTCAGAGCAAGTACACAAAGTTTAAAGGGGTGAAAGGCAAAACCAACAGGACTCAAAAAATCACTGGGACTGGAGGAATTCTTTGCCTTTCAGACAAATGTGACCAAAATCTCACCACTGGGAAGAAGCTCAGAAAGCAAAGAGGAAACAACTTAAGCAGAGTTCCCTCAGGTTTTGAGAGGCCAAACTTGGGAAATGCTCTGAGAGCCACAAGAGCAGCTCTGGAAGTTTGGCCTTTTATCTTTTAACTCCTAACACTCCCCAGTTCCCAAGTTTGCAGCATCCTGAATGGAGAAAGCAGAAATTCCAAGAGAAAAATAAGGAAGCTGGAGCTAGAAGTGATGCAGAGGGTCATGAGACAGAGGCATGAGGTGCAGGAGATGTTATCTTGTGCTGGGCCAAAACAAGGCTGGAGGGGAAAAACACCAGCTAAAATCTTCTCAGTCATGTGAGCTCTTTTTTTTTTATCACATCAAAAAAAGCAAATTTCAGTGAATTATTTTCACCTGCAGACAGCACAGTAATGAAACAAAAGCAGGATTGAAGATGATGCACAACAAGTGGGGGCTGAGAAGAAAAATCAGCAAGGACTTACTGCTTCCACCCGTGCCAGGATGATGGGGAATCCAAAGGCAGAGACAACAATTCCCGTGGTGAAGAAATAGGCCAGCTCCCTGCAGGCACTGCTGGCTGCATCGCTGTCATCTCCCACCCTCTTGGCAATGAAGTGGGGAATGGGGCAGATGAAGTAAAAGATCAGCACAAACAGCGGCCAGTACACACTGGGGAGGGCAGAGAACAAAGTTAAAAGAGATACCTCGGTCACAAAGCTGGTGCAGAACTCCTAATGCTGCTTTTTGGCTTTGGATTGATCAGAAGATTGCACCCAAAATGGGGCAATTCCACCTGGATTTCCCTGCACCGATAGAGCAGCATGCAGCAAGGGTTCATTTATTTTACTTTTGAATCAGTTTGGTGATTCAGCTCTGAGCACAGAAGGAGCAGGAAATGCACTGATACAGCAGGAACAGGAGCAGCATTCCCAAATTACAGGGATGAAGCAGGCACACCCTCCCATCTCTCTGTATCACAGATCTCAGGAGCCTCCTGCGAGTTTTTAAAGTGTTTTA